ACACAGACAGCCCAAGGACTGGGTTGATTGAGAGAGGCAGGGCTGGGCCAGGTAAGTCCACCCCACTACCGCCTTTCTGCGGATGGGGCAGGGGGCCTGGAAACCCTCCCAGCCACCTCACATACTCTTACCCTGGCTGGGAGGGATCATGGGGTTGAGGGGTAGGTCTGGAGCTGCTCCAGTGGGAGGGAGGGGCTGGATAGGAAGAATAGTGGGGGAGGGGTCCCATTGTAGGAGTGCCCCCTACCCCAGATCACCACGGGCGCTGCACAGTCACAGGTACGCAGTCACAGTCACAGACACTCACAACCCGAGAGCACCCCCACCCCACCCCACCCTCTTCCCACCCTTGGTTCCCCTACCCTGAAACACCCTCCCCAAGTCCCTGCCCGCCCGCCCCTTTGTTGGGGAACAAAGCAATAAATTACAAGGCCCCTCCCCAGTCCCCTTAGCCCTCTCCTGTTCTATCCCTTCTCCCTCCCAAGATGGTAGTGAGGAGGGACCTAGGCTCTTGGCTCCCCCAGCCCTTTAGCTTCCATCCATGGGTGGGTGTGGGGGGACGTCCTGATTTCCACTCCTCATGGTCCCTTTCACGGAAAGGGTTGGGGACCCCTCTACCCCCATAGGCAGCAGGGGTCCTGCCCCTCGCTGCCCTTCCCCCTTCGCTAGGCAGTGAGATCAGCATGGAAGGGGTGGAGTCCGCGTATTAGCCCCAAGTCCTGGGGCTAGCACTCCCATGTACTAACCCCTCCCTCCGGGGTGGCGTTGCCCCAGGAGCCAGCCTGGGTATGTGCTCCCGCCCCTGTGGGATTTGTTGAGCACAGGCAGGACCGGGTCTTTCCGCCGCCCTTAGGGGACGCAAACGGGCGTAGCCAAGTGCCCAGGAACAGGTGCCACAGCGCGGGCATCCCTTTCCGCAAACACTGAGCGGGTAGACCCAGAGCAGTCCCGGTGTGGAAACAGTGGAGAAGGGGCGTGTTGAGCAGGGGTCTCCATGCCTTACTGGAGAGCGGGAGGTGAGTTTGTGTCTTCTGGGAGGCGTGGGGGCTGTGCCCTCGTGGGGAGAGTGGGGGAAAAAGTGCTCCCGTGGGGCGGGGTGCGGAGTGGAAAGGTGAGTGGGTGCATCTGTCCAGCGGTCCACCCGGTGCGGTCGTGCCCGGCCCGTGGGGGAGTGGGAGTGTCTCTCCCGCTGGACAACTATACCAGCGCAACCGGGGCGTCGGCGCGGCCCATGCTGGCGGCGCTACTCCGGCGGCGGGGGCTGGGCGTGGCGGTAATGCTGGGAGTGGTGGCCGCACTGGGGGTGGTGGCTGTGCTGCCGCCTTCCCCCGGGCAGCCATGCTGGAGGAGGATGTCGGCGCACAGCTGGCTTCCAGCCTGGCGGGCGTAGAACAGCGCCGTGCGACCCTGCGCGTCGCGGGCAGCCACATCCGCGCCGTACTGTAGAGCAGAAACGGCAGTGTTAACCGCGCAGCCATGTGGGGCCACCCTCACGCCGCTTCCCAAGATTTCTAGGACTACTTCGAGGGTCCCTTTGGGAATACCAGGCTTCCCCAACCTGGCCGTTTCAGAGATGGAGCCCTCAAAGGCCCCTTTACCCATTCCCCACTAACATACCCAGAGCAGCAGCTGCGTGATGACAACGTGGGCGAGCTCCGCCGCCAGGTGAAGTGGGGAGCGAAGCTGTGGGTCCTCTACGCTGGTGTCGAGCGGCCCGTGTCGCGCATGGGCCAGAAGCAAGAGAACAGCGGCCACGTCCTGGGCTTGCACAGCGGCCCACAGCTGGCGGCCCAGCGGCTCCTCAGGAGTGCCCAGCGGGGCCAGGAACAGCAGCTGCTCGTATTTGGCGCGAATCCATGACTCACGCTCCTCCCTGTAAGACCAGGGATCAATGGGAAGGGTTCTCGGGACCCCCAACCAGGACCCCTGCTCCCTACACAGGCGACTCTCTCGGGAGACCATCTACAAACCATCTGTTACTTCGCACATACCGCGAGGAGTCCCGCGTGGGTTTAGAGCGGCCCCGCGTGTCGCTCTCCCACACACGGTTGGCCATATCGTTGCCAATGGCTGTCAGCACCAGGGTCAGCTCCCGCGGCCAGTCGTCCAAGTCCAGCGAGCGAACGCGGGACAGGTGCGTGCCCAGGTTCCGGTGAATGCCAGAACACTCGATGCAGATGAGTGCCCCCAGGTTCAAGCTGGCCCACGTGGGGTCTGGGGACGGAGTGCAGAGGTTGGCTCCCTCCTGAGCAGCAAGGGCACCCGGGCATTCGCCAACTTCAGCGAACCACACTCCCTCCCAGGCCCCTCCACTGCCCCCTTGCGCTCACTGGGGGCCCCGCAGTCCACGCAAATGGAGTTCCCCTTGGCGTTCCGGATCGCCTGGATGGCCACAGCTTCACTTTGGCTGTCTGTGCGTAGCTGCAGAAAGGGTTGGGGGTTATTATTGACTCTCCCTCTGAGCCTCCCTCAGGACTCCTCAGACACTCACCTCTGCTTTCTCTCCTTAAACGCCCCCCCGCCTCCATTACCTTGACCTTGCTGCTTTCACAGCATTGCAGACTGGCTAGGATCTGACTCTCAATTGCTTGGACCCAGGCATCCCGCTCCTCAAAACTGGCTGCCTCAAAGTGCCACGTCTGACCAGTGCTGGACACGATCAAGAACTCGAAGTTTTCCTCTGGGTGGGAGGATGGGATGGGGTCATGAGGAATAGAGTTCAAACAGAGGCCGCCTTCCCCGAACCCTTCCTCCCTCATGTCCATCCCAAGCCCCTGGGATTGAGACAACGGGCTGGGGAAGCAGGGGTCGGGGAGAGCAGGAAGCCCAAGCACATGCAGGGGAAGGCAGGGGCACCCCCACCCCTCTGCACCCCAGCTGAGCGCCCCTCCCAGCTCCCGCTCGTTACCTGCTTTATAAATATTTCTTAAACTACCAAAGGATTTTAGTTTCCACATTTTGCGCTTGGCTGGTTTCCCGAAGCGAAGGAGATAGAGATAGAATAGAGAGCAGAACAGAGAAAGAGACCAAGAAAGGAGATAAAGTGGCAGATGGAGAGACAGAGAGAGAGAGAGAGAGAGTGACAGAGAGTGCCAGAGACAAAGCAGGACAGACAGATGGGGAGAAAAAGCAGAACTAAAGTCAGTGGCCCCAGAGCAGAGTAGAGCAGAAGCCAAGAGCCATGAGAGTAGGCAGATCTGGAACCTGGGTCTGAGCACCCAGCAGAGAGCAGGGGCGGTGGGGACCAGTTATCATGACCAGTGAAAAGCCGGGTCTCTGGGAGGGGAAGGGATGGTCATGATCTGAGTAAACACTGGGAAAGAGGACAGAAGGTTGGTCACAGGCATGGGATGAGGGGAGTTGGGGTTCAAGAGAGGGTCTCGAGGGTCTGGGGGCTTCTCTGGGGGCAGGAGTGAAGATCATTGTGGTCAAGGGCTGTCAGGGGAACTTTATCATGGGAAGTTACTGGGAACAAGGGCGGGGTGTCACAGAGTCCAGGAGTTAAGGAATCAGTAGTGGACATTGAGGTCAGGGGCTGAGTCCCTGGGGGACATGGAGCTTCTGGGGGCTGGGATGGTAAATGGAGTTGAGGGCAGGAACAGGAACTAGAGGGTCATTAGGAGAGGAAGCAGGAGCTATAGAGTTATGGGGGTCATTGAGCATAGGGGCTGAGTTCTACTGGGGCAAAAGGCAATGGAAGGAAGGACAAGGGCTGAAGGGTATCCATCCATTTTTTCACTAAATTATGTGCAAACTGGTAATGATAGTCAAGCACTCAGCTCAGGCACTTTTCCTCTTGCAGGAACTAGGCCAGGGATCTGGAGTTGGGAGTGAGGGTCCAGGGTGGGAGTGCAACTGCCCACCAGGGCCTCACCTTCAGCCTGCCCAGCTGAGCCTTCGGTCTTGGATGGTGTTGTCAATTTTTTCCTTCTCTGCTTCTTCACCATGGGAGAAGGAGGGGGTTCCCGACTCAGGGGGCTCAAGTCTCCAGATGGGGTACAGTCTTAGGGGGAGGGATACAGTTGCCTCAGTTGCTTCCTCCACAGATTTCCTGATTTTTCCATAGCCTGTTTCCTCTCCTGAACTAGCTTTGGCATTTTAGAGTCCCTCTCCTCAATTGTCCCACTTCAGGAGGTCCCCCTTAACGATTCCTGAGGAGGTGAGCTGACGAGTGGTTTAAAGTCAGACCCGCACTCAGATCCTGGCTCTGCCACTTACTGGCCTTGAGACCTTGAGCAAGTCGCTTAATCTTCTGAGCCTCAGTTTCTTCATCCCTAAAATGGGGATAATAACCTTGACCTGACAAAGTTATTGTGAGGATCACTTGGTACAATGTTACTTGCTATTTTAAGTAAATAAATAAATAAATAATAAATTTATATTATATTTCCAAACACCAATGGCTGACTACATGCTGGACAATGTTCTCAGTTTGTTTAAGCCTCAAAGCAACCCTCTGAGGTAGAAACTTATCTCCATTTTATACATGAAGAAACTGAGGCATGGAGGGGTCAAGTAACTTGCCTAAGTGGTAAGCCAGGATTCAAATTCAGGCAGTTTAACTCTAGAACCTACTGTCTTAACAATTATGATAAACAGGGTATGACTGAGCTTGGTGCCTGGTACCCAGTAGATGCTCAATATGTCTACTCATGCATTGATTCCAGGCTCCAAACTTCCTCTCAATTTCATTTCCCACCCACATCCCATTTGGATCTGGAAAACAGTGGATGGAAGATGGATCCTCACTGACCAGTACTGAGGGCTCGGGCCAAATTCCGGTCTGGCTTCAGCAGGTGTTTGGATGTCTGGTCTGGTGGTGGCTGCAAGGAGCTGGGGCTGGGGCTTGGGCTTGGGGCGGGAGTAGTGGCTTCTGTTGGAAAAGAAAGAAGATAAAATCCCAGTGAGCCACTCAGTCTCTGGGCCACATGCCTATGTGGCCCCTCACCCACCTTCCTGCTTATCCAATCCCAGCCCCTACTTCCCTACTACCCCTCCTTTTCCCCTAGCCCTGGCAACTCTCCTACCTCTTTGTCATGAGCCCTACTCACCAGGGCCTTCACCCATCTGGACAGTGCTCATGTCCTTGACCAGCCCATTGATGCTGGCTGAGGGGCCAAAAGCAGAGATGGCCCGTGGGGGCCGCTTGCCAGGGACTTTGACTGTTGTTCGTAGCAAATCCATCTCCTTGCCATGAGTACTGTGGATGTAATCCTGGAGGGTCATAGGGATTGAGAGTAAAAGGGAAAGTTGGTCCTTGGTGGTGCTAGGAAGCCGGCCAATAGTATGGGCTAGAGAGGGACTGGAAAGGGGGCTCTGGGAGCTGACCGGGTTGGGATGAGCTTCTATGGATAAGCCCAACAGACTTGGCCCAGCATTGTCTCCATAAAGCATTCCCTGATTGGCCTGCCAGGTAGAGGTCCTTTCTCCATGCTCCACCACTAGACTGCAAGTTCCCAGGGAGATATATTTACCTTTCCCTCCCCAGCATGGGCACATGGGAGATACCTAATCTTTAACTTTCTTGCTAAACTTAAGAGAATAGGATTAGAGCTTCCCAGAAATGATGTTGGTGATTGTTAGAGGCACAGACTCATAGAGCTGGAAGGGAATCTAAGGCCAGCCAGTATGGCCCACCCAGTCTCTGCCACTCACATTAATGCTGGGGTGGTAAAGTAAGAAGCCGTTACTAGACAGGGTCACATATTTCTTCTTCCATTCTTTGTTCAAGGAGTTGCCACTTCGCTTTAGTAGGAAGCTCTGTAGTATGAAAAGAGACGTGTGAGGGAAAAGTCAGTTAAGATCAGCTACCCCCAGCCTGTCCTCAGCCCCTGGACCACCCACCTGTTTGATGGGGATAGCTCGCCCACTCCCCGTTGTCTCTCCCCGACTGTCCAAGCTCCGCTTCTCAGAGTCACTGCCCCGACGATTCTAGAATGGTTATTGGCATCAGTTAGAGGATGAAGGGATACACTGGTAAAAGGACATGGAAGACAGATGAATAAGGGCCCAACAGAGAGGTCTAGGGACCAGAGAAGATGGGCAGGTAACGGACAGGAGGATGAGGGGAGGGTCAGCATATCCAATACCGCAAAAAGGCTGGTCCGGCGCTTGGCTGCCCGGTGCAGGGACCCTGGCGTGCTCAATCCAGCCACTGTAGCTGCCTCAGCTCGGAGCTCCCGGTGACCAACATTGGGTGAGGATGGGAGGGAAGAAGAGTAGTCGCTAGTGTGGCCCCCATTACTAGCCTGGAGACAGATGGAGAAGTCAGAACAGCTGAGATGCCCCCACCCCACCAAGCTACAGTTACATCTAGTTATGAAAAATCGAGAAATTTCTTGATCTCATCCCCACTTATTTACATTATCATTAATAATAAAACTCACTGACATTGTCACAGTGCTTTAAATTTTACAAATGTTGACTTCACAAGTTTTATGACATAATTTTCCTGACAACCTTGGGAGATTTTGGTGACTTGTTCAAGGACATTGCAAAGTGTTTGAAACCTTGTTGCTTTCCAGTCCCATGCACTTTCTACAAATGGTATTACTATCATTTCCCTCTGCCTCCCCCTATACACACAGTCTCACTGGGTACTCTGTACCTGTCCTTGGATCACTGGCCGCTCCTCTGAATCTTACCAGCCCCTCTGTGAACCCTGACACCCCCAACTCACCTGCCCAGCTACAGGAGTGGAAGCAGCTGAGTGGCTTGGGGAGCTGGGCAGAGATTTGCAGGCAGCCAGAAGCTGTTGCTGTTTGCGCAAGGTCACCACCTTTTGGGCCACTGAGGGAGGAGGAGGGAAAGGCAGCATGAGCAGGGCAGATACCCAAGAACACCCTTTGATGCCCAGCTTTTTAGAAATCCCCAAGAAATAACATAGGCCCCAACTTCCTTGTCACTGTGGCCTTCATGCCACTTGTGGCCTTGCTGGCACCTCCAGCTGAGAAAGACCTTGTGGCTATTAAGCACAGCTTCTATGACCTTTCTGATCCCTCCTTCCTCCCACACAGACTAATGTCCTATCGATCCCTCATGGAGAGAGGCCTGGATAGGAGACCTCTAAGAATATCTCACGCCTCTAGCTCCCTGCTTCCCACATGTGCAGGGATCACCACACTCACCCTCCTGGAAGACTCGGTCCACATTGAGTCCATAGGTTGCACAAGTCTCATAGTAGCTGCAGCGTTTCATATCTGCACATAGAGCTCTGGCACGAGCATCGCCCACAACCCGAGGGGAGGAAGCACTGATCCTGTCTGAGGGGACAGGAAGCAAGCAGGATTGGGGCCCCTTTCTCACTTTTCCTGCTTTCCTTTCCCTTGGGCTCTAGTCCCAGGCTGGACCCACGGGAGAGAATACCTCTCTTGTGACCCAGTGGAATGGAGTGTTTTTTGAGTGCTGGGCTCAGCCCACATGCCCAGCTGCAGTATGAATAGGCTCTTCAAAGAATACTCCAGAGTTCAGTGGAGCTTCCTGACAAGGTCTGAAATGGCTGAGACTCACTAGTGATAATCACCCTGTCCTGCAAATCCAATGAACCCTGAAGGGAGGACTCCTGGCATGTGAACTAGGAAAGGTTGAATGCCACAGGTGGACTGCTCACTCTGCAGCGGGAAACCAGAAGGCAAGCGACAGGTGGAAGCAGGCACCTGTCGAATAGGCGTCCAGACAGAAAGTCCTGCCAGCTCAACACAAGTGGGTAGTAGAAAAGGCTTTTCCTACCGCTGGGAGAGAGTGTGAGTGCCTTTGAATCACTTTGAGAACTAAAAGTTTTCCTGCCCTTCTGTGTTTTCTCCATCATTTCATTTGTGTTTAGCCTTCGATTTTAGATAAGCACCTTTGAAAGGTGTCAGCCTGACCCAGCTGTAGCTAAGAGATGGAAAAGGCTTTCTATCTGCATTAGGGCCTGAGAGTTTGTGTTTCCCATGGTGGTGGCACTGGGAAACGGCAGTGTGAGAACACAAGGTAGGTGACATCTCAAAGGAATGAGCTGAGGGGACAGCTACTACTATAGCTTTCCTTTCCTCTCTAAAGAGTCCCCTTTTCTCTGCTCAGGTTTTGGGAAGTTTGTGTTGGTCTAATGACTCCCTTATCTAGAGACCAGGCTTCTTCCAGAAGGTAACTGGAAACCAAGTATCCATTTCCACACCTTGCCAAGTTCTTCCAAATGTTGGGCAGTATTCCAGTGGCCATCAGCAGTGTCTTCCCAGCCCCTCCTTACCTTGTGTCCCCACCAGTGCCAACGCGAGACCTCCTCGTCCCTCCCCCCGAAGGGAGCTCAGCTGCCCATGGAGACGGCTCACGGCCTGGAAACTGTTCTCATCCTCCAGGCTGAAGACCAAGATCACAGCATCTGCCCAGCCTGAGAACTTGCGGGGGGTGAGGGAGCAAATGGAGGGTCAAACAAGTCCATTCCTCTAGGCACTATTCCCAGGGAGACCTGGGAAATCAGAGCCCTCCCCCTTGGCCAATGCTGATCCCAGCCAATCAGCCTACTCCAAACCTCACTCCTCACCTTGGCATCAGGTGCCCCAGCTTCCTCTCGGATCAACACTAGATGAGTCTGTCCATCCACCAACATCTCTTTCTTGTGTTGCTCACCTGTCCAGAAGGGTTGAAAATGGTAGTAGATCAGAAGTCACAGGTCACTAGACCTCCCCATGTTCCCTCTACCTTAGCTATCATGGCCTCATCCTTCCCTCTGGTCTGCATACCTGCCTCGTCATTGATCACACTGCCTAGTCATTGATCCTGGATCCCTGACCCCAATCCTTAGTTTACTATGGCTCCTGAGAACTCACTCTCTGTCTTCTCCAGCACCTGGTATGAACCGGTCAGGAATCGATGGATGAGTGATGACTTCCCACTCCTGGCGTCGCCCAGTACACCCTGAGAACAAGGTTAGGGAACAGAGATTGTGGGAATTAAGAGGCAAGATGCTTGGGTCTGGACACTCCAGAGAACTTAATAAATCATCCAAGGAGGGTCCTTCAGGGCCTGGGTGACAGTTGGTCAGGAGAGAGCATTAAGGAGGATCCAGCCAGCAGTGTGCCAAGTTATGATCCCAAGCTCAAAGTGGACCACAAGTTGAAGAATGTTAGGAACTCAGTACGGGGTGTGTGCGTGTGCGTGTGCGTGTGCGTGTGCGTGTGTGTTTGCTGTTTAGAAAACTTAGCAGCTGTGTGTATGGTGGGCCTGGGGGAGGCAGTACATATCACAGCCCTAAACAGTGGAAAGTTTTACTCAGTTCTAGGCAATAGAACATGAAAGGTTAAAGGAGCAATGCCAGAAATGAGGGGAAGCCATGGACAAATAGGAAAAAAGAGACTAGAGAAGAAAAGTTGTGAGAATGTATCAAGCCCCAGGAAGGTGCTATGAAGGTAGAATCTCTGGAGAACTGGAAAACTACTCCCCATTCTCAGAGAGAGGGGATGGAGAGATTGAGAGTGCAGTGGACAGGAGAACAGCCTTCCTACAGACAAGAGAGCTGGGTTACCTACCAGGCGCAGTTCAGGAATGGAGCGGCTCAAAGTCCATTCCTGGCTATTGACCACAGCCTCTGTAATGGGAAAGGAGCCATAAGATGGGATGCTCCAGACCGAGAAGGACACCCAAACCTCAGCCACCCCTCTTCCTTTTGCAGCTTTGCTTAACCTTTAGGACCCTGCCTGGGCTGGAGAGTTGTGTGAAATAGCCAGGTTTGAGAGTGGTCCCCAGTCCTCCCATCCCAGCCAGCTCTCCCTACAGCTGTTGCTGCCGCTCAGTGGTTGCTTAGCAACGGAGCCAGCAAGACGAAAATACTTCAGTTGGCATCTCCCTTAAAACACATCCTCAAACGTAGGTCTCTGCCCCAGACCGGAGGACTAGAGCTCTGACAACAGCAGGTTCTTCCCTCTGTCACGGGGGAAAATAGAAAAGGGTCTCCTCCCCACCGGCCTTTCTGATTCCCAGGGCAGACCCTGGGAGGAGAGGCTAAGACGCAGAAAGGAGTGGGTCTTCCTCAATTTCCATTTTACAGAAGAGAAACTGAGGTGAGGGATATCCTTTCCCCTTTTCAAGGTCAGTGGCGCGATGGCCCCTGACCCCTTTCCACAGTCCAAGGAATGCTGCTTAGATATTCTATGCCTCCCTCCCATAATCCTACCCAAAATCACCCTCCAAAAAAACTGTAGGGAAGGGCTCCATTCCCTGGCCGAGAGAAGCCACAGGCCTGGCGGAGTAGGGGGGTGGATGGATGCTCCTTCCGCCCGCCGAGTCCAGCCCCCGCTCCTGACACTGGCCGGACGTTCCCGGGGCGCCGCAGCTGCGGCGGGAACTCTGGGATCCGGAGCCATCTGCTCCCACCCGCTCCGCAGCCAAACCCCGGGACCGCCCCCGCTCCTCCCGGACCTGCCTCCCCTCCGGGAGTGTGAGCCGAACCATGAGTCCCCCGCCTCACTTCTAGAAGAAAAGAAATAAAGACAGACCCCCGGAAAAAAAAAAAAAAAAAACCAAAACAAAACCAACTACCTTTTCCGTACCCCCTCCTAAGTCTCCAGGGAGTAAGAATTGCCTTTGCAGCAGTTCCGCCCACTTGAGTCACTCCCGGTCAGCCCCCTGGGGGTTTCAACGCTACTCTGGGGCTGGGGTGGGCAGTAGGGAAGTGAAGCTTCCTATCCACCCCCTCTCACTTCACATTCAAATATTCAGCATGATCCAACCCACAAGCACTCCCGTACTGCCCAATCCGCCTTTACTGCATGGAAAGAAACAGAGTCCCTCCCTGCTGCTTCACTAGCCTGCTGCCTGCTCTCAGCTCAGGGGAAGACCTGCCCCTGGCGAGGAGCTGCCTGCAAGGTCACTTTCATGTCACTTTGCCCCAAGAGCTCAGGAAAAGCTGAAGCTTCTTATTCCCTTCACCTTCAGTGTCCCTCTGGGCAAGGCAAAATCCTGTTTCCATGCTCCCCGAGTCTAGCTGAAGCTGGAAGTGGAGTCTGGGGCTTCTCTGGGAGCAATTTCTTATTTACTCTGACCAAGGGCATTATTTTCCCAGAAAGCTCTGAGTCTTTCTGAGTCCTTTTGAAATCAAGTCATCTCTCATGTCGCACAATGTAACTACTCACCCCCCACCCCCCATCAGGACCTCTTATTCTTTACCCCAATCCTTGGCAGAAGTGAGCCTTGTTCCTCTGCCCACCCAAAAGAGAAGCTTCTCTAGTTTACTTCTGCACATGGCTCCCCCACCCCAAGCTAAGCATTCCAGGTGCCCTCCCCTCCCGTTCTCAGGCCCTGGTCCTACTCACTAGGGGAGGTGCGGAGCTCTGCGCCCAGCAGCTCCTTGGACCCGCTGCCAGAAGACAGGCCCGGGGGTCCAGGAGGGGGCCCGGAGCCAGGAGGCCCCCCTGTGCTCTTGGTGAAGATGCCGCTGATAAACTTAAGCATCTTGCGATCTCGAGTGGATGCTCGGCCCCCCTCCCGGCCCCGTTTCAACCCCGGAGCTGGAGGCTCCAGAGTGATTGGAGGTGCAGGCCCAGTTGGCTGCGCGGAAGCGGCGGTGACAGAAGTGTCTGGAGCCGGGGGTGCTGGGACGGTTAGCGGTGGAGGAGAGCTGGAAGGCGGTCCCGGGTGCAAGTCACTGTTGTCCAAGGTCTTACTCTTGCCTTTCCTAGGGGACAGCTTCCCTCGGGCTCCCGGTCCAGCCCCGACCCCAGCAGAGGTCGTGGCTGCGGCTCCCCCTGCCCCGGCGACAGCGGCGGCGGCGGCAGCAGCAGCAGAAGCTCCAGTCCCAGCGCTGCTCTTTGACCCCTTGACCCTGGGTTTGCCCTCGCTTTCGGGCCATGACAGGCGGCTACCCGCGCCTTTGCCCCCGCCGGCCTTGACGCCACTCGTGGTCACGGTCTTGCAAGGCTTGGGAGCGGGTGGAGGAGGCGCCACCTTAAGCCTCCGGCTGCCGGTGCCAGGGTGCGGGGAGGACGAGCCAGGGACGCCGCCGCACGCCCGGCCTTCGGGTTCCGGGCCCCCCCAGCTCGGGCTGCTGAGCAGGGGGCGCCGGGAGGAGGTAGGGGCGCCCCCAGGCTTGGGGTCGGGGCTCAGTCCCCCGGAGAGCGGGGGGCCAGGAGGGGCGGCCCAGAGGGACAAGCGGCGGCCGGGAGCGGGGGAGACGGGGCGGGCCGGACTGGCCGGAGCTGGGGACAGGGCGGGGGGCTCGGTGCCCCCAGCGCCCGCGCTGCTTGTGCTGATCCACAGCGCATCCTGCCGGTGGAAGAGACGCTCGTGCCGCTTCTTGCCCGGCTCCTCAGCGCCTCGGGGGCTGCCAGGATCCCCGGTCTCTGCACCTCTGGTCCCGGGGGTGCCTGCTGTGGCCACAGACGGAGAAGGCGGCGGCGGAGGCACCGACTCGAGCTTGACCAGGGTCAGCGAGATGAGGTAGGTCGTTGTCCGGCGCTGAAGCGCGCCCGCGCCCCGGCTCATGGGGCCCAGAGACCCCAGAGCTGGGGAGGGGAGGGGACTCCCCCGGACTGCCTCAGGGGGGCCCGGCCATGGGGCCGCCCTGCTCGCTGCCCCCAGCCCCCGGACCCCGCTGAGCCCCCGGCCCGGCTCCGCTGTCGCCGCCGCCTCCGCCGCCTCCGCTTGCGCCCCCCTCCCATCACACGGGGCGTCCCCTCCCCATGCTCCCCGCCCTGCGCCCCCACCCCGTTGGAGCCCCGGGACCTTGGTGCTGCTCCAGGGAGGCGCGCCGGACCGTGCACCCCGGCTTGGGTGGGGGCGCTGAGATGAGTAGGGGAGGATGAGGAAGACTGTAGTGGGGGCAAATAAGGGAGAAAGAGGAAAAGGGGGCAGAAAAGGGGGACCCGAGGCTGGGAGAGAAGAGGAACCGGTGCGGGGGAGGCAGGGGCGGGGAATTGGACTCAAGGGACAGGGGCTGCGGATGGGGGTCGGCGAGGGGTGTTTTAGGAGGGTGGGAAGCTAATGGGGCCGGTCGTGCGGGGGATTCGCAGGGGCGCGGGGAGGATGCTGGGGATGGAGATACAAGCGCCGGCGGGGGAGGAAGGAGGGAAGCCAGAGGGGGTGGGAACCCACAGGTCTGGGGTCTGGGAGGGGAGGGGCGTGAGATCCTGGCGAAGGGTCCGGGGGGCTCGCCGGGGCTTGGCTCTGTCCGGATGCGCGCTGTGTCCGGGCGCTCCCCAACATTGATGAGGAGGCGGCCCCCGCCCCCTACCCTATCTCTCTTCCCCCCCGCTCCCCACCTTCTCTCCACCAGCAAGGCTGTGAGCGAAGGCGGTTCGAAATCCAGGACTGGATTTTCCTCCCAAACCCTGGACTGGATTTCCTGGAACTTGGACTCACCTACTCCAACAATCTAGCCCCCTCCCCTAGCATAACACAATTAGGGAGCACGATTGCTGAGTGTGGCATTTAGGAACAAGGGTAAAGATTAATTATGGGTGGACAGTCCGCGGCAAAAACGGAGCAAATTCGTGGGCACTGCCAATTCTGGGAAGCTGAAGTGGAAAGAGAACCCTGAAATCCCTTTCCCAGGACCCCCTGTCTCCCCTAGGTACTTGCACATATTCCATTCCCATGACCCAAGCCCCTCACCCACCTCCACCCCCCACACGCAGTACATTGATGGGGCCACGACTTGAATTCAACTGTCCCAAAGTGAACTTGGAAAGTGTTCCCAGGGGATGGAGACACACATGGAACTTAGAAGGATAGGAAGGAGGGGGATGCCTCAGGCAGCGAGAGATCTGGGGGCTCTGCGGAGCCCAGGCCAACAAGTGAATCAAAGGCTCCAGGCCAAGGTGGAAGGAGAGGACTATGTCTACATACTGACAACCCCCCCATACCAAAATGCATCTGGTCTCCATAGCAACTGTAGCTCCAAGAGTGCCTCAGAAACAGCAGGGATAAGCGGAGAGGAGGGATTAGTGTGTGTGGAGGTAGTGGTGGGGGTCTGCCATGAGACTTGGGGTTCATGGAGGCACTACCCTCACACCTGGTTACCCACATGTGGGGTATTTAAAGCCCCCAATATAAGGAACAACTCAGTTGAGGCAGCTGGAGCTGGATTCTTTTGGGTTCCCATTCAGTCTCCTGAGGTTTTCGGGGTGGGGCTCTTTTAGAAGGTTAAAGAGGAGATAGAATGGAAAATGGCTGCTCTGTATCTCTCACTCCTGTAGAGACCCTGGGGTTCAAGGCTCACTGTCTTCTAATCTAAGGTGAAGGATGAAGGGGTTAGGCCCATGGAGAACTGAGGCTGAGACCCAGCAGGGGTGGGATGAGAGTAGAGAAGGCCTCCCGGCACCCTTGGAGACCCCTCCCCTGGACTCGGATAGTCTCAGCATTCCCCTAATTTGGCGTCCCATCCTCCTGACGCAGCCGAGACTATAATAGTGCTGTCGTGGGCGGCTCTTGGAGGCAGGAGCCTGCGGTGCACTCGGCCTGGTAGGGGGTGAGAGTGGGGGACGGTACCAGGATGCTGGGTGCCCTTTGTTCTCCTCAAGACCTGAACTCAATGCCTCTGGGGGCCTGTCCCCAGGTCAGCAGCCTCTCTTCCCCGTCCCCCCACTCCACCCCCTGCCCCCGTTGTGTAGATGGATGACACCATCCCCAAGACAAAAGACCCTTTTGTAGTTTTTTTCTGAAAGAGAGAGTAGAGACTTGTTGATTCTGGCTTAATTTTTCTTCCTTCCATTGTTGGTCTCAGTTTTCCTTTATATAC